CGATAGCTTGTGTTTTGCCTGTTCATTTATATGTATCGCTCTCTTCTTGTACTCTCTCTTAACGATCTTTTCATCTTCCTAACCTGTCTTCTCTCTCGCTCCGGTTTGTCCCCTCTCTCACTCTCTCATGTCTCTCATTCTCTCCTTTTTACAGTCTGTTTGTGCAATTATGAATATGCTATGTACTAAATGCATAGAACAAGTGTCTAGAAAACAATATTCCGTAACTCGGGAAACCGACTCGGAAATCGAGTTCGTTGGACAAATCGAACGCGGCACAAGACCATCTTGAACACTACTTTGTTCATACATGGGGCAAATGTGATTTACATCACACCCAGGGTGTGAAATCCCACTTGTAGCACAGCAAAGGAGGTGGAATCAAGGGCCAGATCAGCCACTCTGGTTTGGAGGAAACGGCCATGACAACATAACTGTGTCTGCTGTGGAAACCTTTAGGTTTCTGGGATCCACAATCTCAGAGCTCCTAAAGTGTGCATCCAACATGGACTCATCATCAAAAAGGCCCAGCAGAGGATGTACTGTACTTACTACAGCTGAGGAAACAATCCCTGTAATCCTGTAACACTAAAACATTCAGTTATTTCCATTATAGATTATATTTTTTTTAAATGCACACTGTTTTTAACATGTATATCTCACTGTGCACTGTCACTGTCAATATAAATACTACATGCTATATATACAGATATATACAGTTTACACCGATCTGCCAGGTCCTTGAACTTTGTGACGAAGGAACTATGGTCTTAAACACTTACAATAAACAGCAATCTCAAATAGCTCCCTGTCTTGTCCAGGTGAGATAGGGTGGTGTGGAGGATGTGTGCCATGGCATCCTCTGTTGATCGGTTGGGACAGAAGGCAGACTGTAGGGATCCAGTATGCTGGGCAGTGAGGAGCAGATGTATCCTTGACTAGCCGTTAAAAGCACTTCATTACTACTAGGTGAGTTCCAATGGGCAGTAGACATTTGGGCCGGTTGTTCCTGATTTCTTGGGCTTGATGGTGGACTTGAAGCACGTGGGTAAGAAAGACTGAGCCAGGGACAGGCTAAATATCAAGAGTAATTAAGTGAGTCATGAATACTTTTACTTTTAACAACATAGAATGAAGGAGCCCCTTTTTCAAAGGATTCATTACTGAATCCTACAGGATTCTAAAAAGGGCTCTCCTATAGAGACAATCTGACTTATTTTTCTGAATGTAGCTATTATTAGTCCATTATTGGTTGGTGATATTCTTGAAGCATTTCTATACTTGCTCAGTCACTCAGTCCCATGTTGTCCTTGGGCTAATAATTATGCAGCATTTGTACTTGACCAAAGACATCGAAGCCAATGTTACTCAGAACATACAACTAACAAAGAATATATACATTTGCCACTGGATGTCGCATGGAGCACCAGCATGTCAGACTAAAGCAATGGGACAGAAATAAAATAAAACTCACCAAAACAGTCTTTGTCAGTTTTTCAACTGTTCTAACAATCACCACTGTTGGTTTAGTTGAAATAAACCCTTAAAGTTAGATGCAAAAATACTTTCAGTGGCTTTCAGTGGCTGCAACATAAACCAGTCTGACATGCTCAGATTGTTACTCTTTATCTGATAAAATAATAGAAAAGATCCTTACAGAGCTAGACCTTTTGTTTAACCAGGAAGCAAACGACAGAGAGAGGCTGTGATAGCAACACAGGCAGAGGGAGTGTGATGTCATTCTCTGCTCAGGATGCCATTACCTCACTCTCTGTCTTTACATAGCAAATACTTGTTTGCTGCTATATTAATGTTTTAAATCTCACATATATATAAATTGAAAAATGCTAGATGTCTGGTTTTTAATTGTATACACAATAAATCTGCCTGACATATTTGGTAACTTCAGGATCTGCAATAGAATTATAGACACATTTCTGTGGGTTTTAACTTTGTTTGTCACATTGCTTCAGTCCAATTGTTGTAATCTTTTCCTTGCTCCTCTCTACACCAGACATCATTGTATGTTTGGTATATAAACTGGTGGTACACTCCATGCTGGTGAAGGGAATGGGTGTTGGTGTTGGATTGTGGTGTTCTCTCTGCTCCTCTCTGGGGAGCCGCTCTGCTCAATGCTACCACTTCACCTCGGCAGACAGTCTGGCTCAGCACCTGCTTCTTGAACTGGGGGGAAGGGGAGGCTGCTAGTGATAGTGAAAGAGGGAGGGGGCTGCGAGGGCAAAGGGTGGCCTTTTGTATAGTGATGGGGGAAGGAGTGTCTGTATGAATGTGTGAGGAGATCTGACTGTACAGACTGCTTATCCAGGGAGCATTGTGCTGAACAGACCGCTCCCCAGACAAAAGTGGCTTAGATATGCCAATTATAACCATGCTGCTGTATCTGTGGAGACCTACTTTATATGTCATCTCTGATGTGCTACTTGGCTGGTAGTTTCTTTTGTGCTGACTGAGTGTGTATGTTGCTGCTGATTTAAAAAAACTTTAAAACTGTGGGCAACTGAAGTCTGGTTTAATGCTGATGGTTCTTTTATTGAGTAATTCCATTTTTTTTAGACTTTTCTCAGGAAATATGGTGGAAACGTCTGGTCGAGTAAAATAATGTTTTTAAGTTCAATGTATATTTTGATCAATGATAATTGGAAGGGGCCTTTACAAACCACTCGCATCCATCTAACACATTTTCACGTCAGGTGGATCTTTGCCACCATGTTATTTATTACAAAAGTGGAACTTTTAACTTGCCTGATATTATTTTAGAAAATCAATTAGAAAATAAAAGTTGTTCATTTACTTATGTAAAATAATTTGTCTAATTTTTCTTTCTTAAAACAACACTTTAAAGAACTTTTGAAACAAAAACAATCTTCAAAAAACTAATTCTACCTATTAGAAATGAAAAGTTTAATTCATAGGGAATAAAACACACCATTGCTCAGTTTTATAGCCTTCGGATTTTTGCTTACAGCCATAATTTGTCTGGCCAATATCTGAATGTGGTTAGTGTTCGGAAACTATAAATTTCACAGTGGCCACTGCACAGGCTTGTAGGCTATCAGTTTTAACATGGCTAAAATTGTTTCAAAAGTATTCTCTTTCCTCGTATCATAATTTGGACATCAAAATTGACATATCAAATTATATGTCAAAATGACATCAAAATATCAAACAACAAAATAAAATAAAAGTTCTAAGCTAAGCCTTGTTGCCCTCTTTAACCAAGATTTAATATGACCTAAGAATTGAAAACTGCAGACAAATGCCTGCAACAGAGTCGTCTGAACTAACTAGAAATTAACACATTTTCAGTGGCAAACAATGTTTAGTTTTTAGGGGCAGTTATGTCAGTTGAAACTATGCCTTGATGATCATCAGTGTATCCATCCATCAGTACTTTTGTGCAGTGTCTCCAGCTATAGCGGCCATTGAGCACAGGTTCTGGTCTCAATACAGGTAGCACCAAACTGTGACAAATACTTCAGGAAGTGCACAGTTTCTGCACCCCTTAAAACCACAAACTGCTGTTTTCTGTGCTGTTTGTATACACATTCAACAAACATGATATATTGTGTTAATTAGGAGCTTTAGACTTTTTTTAAACAGACCCAGGTATTTCCACCTGTTTCCAGTCTTTATGCTAAGCTAGGCTGACTACATCCTGACTCCATCTCTGCAGCCTACATCTCATCTCACTCTCATACCTCCCCAGCTCCTTACTATAAGCACTGCTTTTTGTTATTCATTATATTGAGGTTCTGAGTGATACCAGATAGGATCACAGAACCTTGTTTCACATGCATACAGACTGTAGCCCCATTCCTTTCTATTATGTAACAAATAGTGTCCAAATGTGTGGGATTGTATCTGCAATCCACTCAGTGCACTACACTGGCTGCTATTAAATGTAATTATTAAATAATTCAAATGACTTACTTATGGCCTACACATTCTCCTATTTTACAAATACATTGTTTCCAATCGCTGAGTGAAAATGGATGCATTGATTTTTATGGCACAAGGACCCTTAGTTACTGATGGTAGAGCTCTGCCACGAACAGCAGCTCTGAGAGCTGTGATTGGAACAGGCTGCTCCCTGCACTGCTCCCATTGGCTGCTTCCAGAACTACACATGCCTCATTACATACAAAGCTCCACCTTCCTGTACTAAGGAGGGGGAGGCAAAGGGTTGTAAAATCCCTGTGTGCTGTCTTACAGGTTGGATGTTTCAACTGATCTGTTCAGCCTGGCTATTTTGTTTCCTTTAAAGCTGTTATTGTATTTTGGCATTAAAAATGTCAAAGTGCACTCTTAATTAGCGCTTGTAATGGCATTTGCAAGAATCCGCTAGATGAAAACAACCAAATCAGAGCAGAAAAAGATATAAGACGGATTGGGAAGTGTGGACCAGGAGTAGCCTACCTCTTTTCCACCAAATTAGCATTGGTTCCTAAACCGGTTCTTTTCAGGATTCAACAACATTCTCCTTATTAGTAATAAAGCTGCCTCCTGAGTGAACTGCCCATAGTTCAATAGGGTCAGCTAACGCTTACGTAATGGTGGTACTTGAGTAACCCAGAGAAACAATGATGTAATGGAATACAAGATGAACCATGATAGGCAGCCACATAGTAACAACAAATAAAATAACAAAAAAATACAATTCCTTTTTCTTGTTAAAATAAATTTTAGATTCCATTTTAAAACTAAATTAAATGCAAATTTAATTCATGTAGATCATGTAGATGTAATATTAAATTTGCAAATCATAATTTTTTCATCATTGATTGTATTTTAACACCATAAGGTCGAGCCTTATAGTTAATTCTGGGTCTTGGAAACAGTAGTTTAATTTAAAAAAAATTAATTCTAAAAATACAGGCTAAAATGAAAGATCATGCATATTGCGTCTCTTCTGGCTGCCTGTCAGACAATACTGAGGGCTCAAAAGGACCATTTTACCGTTTGCTCCTGGTAGTAGGCTATCTAAACACATTGTTAAAAGCCGCTTGATAACGCTTATGAATTACCACTTTGTTCATCTGGTGCTTGTAAGGAATAGTGGCCGGTGAGCTTTAACACAGGATCTTTTCTTCTGCTGGTTGATCTGAGCGGAGCAGGGTGAGTGATTTTACACCACACTGTGAGTTGATGAGAGAGAATTTGTTGACTTTTTTTTGCATTTCAGCGCCATTTGCAGACAGGTATACCTACCGTCCTTTTATTGTTCCCACTTTCAAACGCATTGCTTTTTTTATGAAACAAACGCCGCAAGAAAAACAGCAATTGTTCGAATATAGTTAAATGTGGAATATACGTTCATCTTATATTAATGACTGATAATAAACGATGGTGTAATGATAAGAGCATCAGGAGACGAGATGTAAACAACCACACTTTTTGTATTTTTGTTGTAGAATTGAAATGTGTTGAAACGATACGTTGTAGCTATTTTTGTAAGTGATTCAGTGTATTAGTCATAATCACCATCGCGCTTTCATAATGCATATAGAGGTTGTAATCAGTCTCCATGTTATCCAACACTGATACAGTGGGAGCAGTCGTTAGTCGGTGTCATCTGTTTTTCAAGCAGACTATAGAATCATCATGGAGACTGTTGATTGTGTACAATCAGCAGGATTGTTCGGTTCTAGGGTCACTGAAGATCCTGGGCTGATAATCCTTAAATGCATCTGGGGTAATGTTTTGATATTGCAATACAGATACGTGCTTTATTAATAATACATAATAATAAAGGATTGTTAATATTATTCGACTGTGTAAAGCAGTGGCAGACTCAGGTTTTCTGATGGGCAAGGGGTGAAAAACCATAAAGGGCACCAGCATGCAGAAAGATTGTGATGCATTTATGGTGAAACCCTGGTTATTAAGATTACATTTTTTTAATTATGTGACTCAGATTGAATGTCCAGATGAAATGAAAAATGCTTTTTTTCATATTGCTCACCTATTTAACAATGTATGCCAAAGAATTAAAAAAACACAATTTCTTTGTATTTTTATATGGAAATCCAACCCTTTTGTATATTTTATATTTATAAAATATATTTCATTTATATTTTCATAAACTTTCAGCTTTTAGAGACAGACCTAAGATTTATTAATGAGCTAGCTAGCAACAGTATGATTTTCTGCTGGAGAAAAAACCCTCCCCAACCCTAACTTTTTTTTAAAATTTTATTATTGTTTTAAACAATTGTACACCCTTAATAGGCTCATTTATTATTTCTTGACAGTAGTTCCTTGGTTGTTTTAACTGCGTACTGCGTAGAGTGAAAGCTCTGTGAATATACCTTGTTAACGTCTTAAAATTATCATATATAATAATCTAAACTTTAATCACAATTTAATTTAGTTTAACTCATGTGCCCTGCTCAAATGTACTACCCTCTGGACACCTTTGTGACAAAAATGTACACACACAAAAAAACTGCTATTAAATCATACATCAATATTTTTTTCTGCTTTTTTCCCCCATAAATCTCTTAACAACTTCAAACTTGCTAAAACTATCAAACATTAAGTAATTTTCAGTATTTTAAATGCCAGTTTAATTATTAATTATATTTTCTCATGTTTTTGACTGTTTTTTTTAGCTTCCAGACAGCCACTTAAGGCTTAAAACTATCTTCTGTTAGGTCATTTAAAGCAACATTATGGTAAATGGTAAATGGACCTGTACTTGTGTAGCGCCTTTCTAGTCTTCCGACCACTCAAAACGCTTTTACACTACATGCCTCAGTGATGGCAAAGCCCATCGAACAACTAATGCATTCATACACATTTACACGGAAATGCACAGCATCAGGAGAAATTGGGGTTAAGTATCTTGCTCAAGGATACTTCGACATGTGGCGGGACAAGCCGGGGATCAAACCAGCAACTCAGTCAACCAGCAAATTAATCGGAATTAATGGACGACGCGCTCTGCCTCTGAGCCACGTGTTTTCTATCTTTAAAATAACAGCTTAAAAATATTTCTATACGCGACACTGAGTTTTAATTGGGTAAATGGCGCCTGGTTTGAGTGCCTAATGCTTTATTGCAATGAGTCACACACCACCAACTATGTCACTGATTTTGGTGAAACTGGATCATATTTTATGGGGAAAATGTCTTCTCCCGGATTTCATATTTACTACAGTGGTATTGCTGTCTCAAATGGGGTGGGGGTGCCAAATCGCAACAAATGCCAAAGCTTACATAGTGTTGCTTTAAAGACTATACTATTTATTTTTACTGTTTGTGGGGATACTGTGCAGATGTTTTACATCCAGCTTCCTCTGGCCTCTACAGCAACCTTTAATCCCACACAGGGCCCGATTAATTTTAAAGCCGCTTTTAGTCCTTAAGCTCACTTCCAGCACTCTGACACAAGCTACCACGCTGTCAGAAATACAGATATGCTTAAGTATGTTTTTAATTTTCACAAATGCATTTCCTTTTTAACTTTTGAACCAAATTGTCTAAATCTAAGAATCTATTTGAAATATTAAAGCTGGTTAGCTTACATCAAATAATGTTATCATATTATTACTTAACTTTAACCTCAGAAAATCAGGTTGAGGGTTCGGTCGGATTTATTGTGCACAATGTTGAATGTAAAATCATTCCCATCACCTGAGCTTCAGAATATTGGCTGTCTGAATGCTGACCAAAGGAGAAGAACTAAAAATGGCAGAAACTTAACATTGCATCGTGTGTTCTGATATTTGCACTGCTGGGTGTGATGATGTGGGCATATTTTGAAATAAAAACATTATTCTGCCTAGCTGGAGAGTCTCGGGATGGATGGGACAGTCCCTTCCATATTTTTTGATATATGAGAAAAATATGATCAAGTCACCATTAAAGGTCCAGTGTGTACCATTTAGCAAGATCTATTTTCAGAAATGGAATGTAATATTCATAGGTATGTTTGTTTTCATTAGTGTAACAATGCCTGAGCAGGTCCTCTTACAAGCCACCATGTTTTTACAGTAGCACAGAACGGACAAACCAAACATGGCTCTAGATAGGGACTTTCACATTATTTCTCCTACACACTTGGAGGCTGAGCTGTATTAAAATAATTGCTATCTACATCTTCACAGCTAAAAGCCACTAAATGCCACACACTGCGCCTTTAAGTAGCTACAACAGAATATTTGTTATCATATGATATATCAAAAGTCAGTAAAAGTTGTTTAAATACTATATGTTTACAATACTAATGGCAAATAAATAGTGTAAAATTATTTAGCCTACAGCATAGTGGCATAAGAAATTACATAAATATTAATGTCAAGTAGATTAAGCTCCTATAACTGCCACTAACCTAACCCAATAAAAAACCTACATTTTCTCAATCATCAGTGAAGAAGGAAACTTATGTTTTCAACTGAGTCATCAGACACTGCACACAGAGAAGCACAAGATAAATCATGGTATGACACAAAGTTCACAATTACTATACAGTATTACAGTATAAAGTCTTTTTTTAAGTCTGCAAATCTGATATTTTCATGTGAAAGATGATCACATTATAAGCCAGCCAAACACCCAGCCGACTAATTGCGAGCAGGGCTCAGCTGTCAATCACGATGTGATTCGATGCTAACATGGAGGCAGTGGGCAGTTCAGCCTATTTGATGAAGTGAATGTACTTGCATGATTCTTGCAATTTTTTGGTGGTGTTTCTACAAGATAAGTGCACTCAAACCTATTATAAGTTGCTTTAGATAAAAGTGTAAGCTAAATAAATATAATGTAATGTAATGAAGCATCTGCCCAAATAATTATAATTGAACTAGCACTTGATAGCACTGATGCTTTACTTGTTGACAGCATTCCTACCGGCATCCAGTTTTCATGCAGTCTAGCAGAATAGTTTAACACATCCATCACTGCCTTCATGACATAGAAATATAATAGTCATAATCCTTAACCAGTTTTATGTTAGACTAGTTGTACATGCAGATGTAATTGATTGTAACCCAAGAATCAGAATACAAATGTGACATTTCCACACAATCCACACAACTTATTTTTAATCAGCTCCCCCTCTCATTACTGCTATCTTTGCACATGCCACCACTGCTTTGTGTGCCAGCACATACCACTCTACCACATCAGTGTGGAACTACAGGTGCTGCAGGTACCGCCTCATGCTAACAGTTACATTAGCAAAACGTAAAACTAGAGAAGAATCAGTCAGGAAGGATAAGGAGAGAGCAATTGTCTGTGGCCACCACCTGCAAAACCATTCCCTTTTTGGGGGTTGTCTTGCTGTTACCTCTCCAGCGCACCATTATAGTCACTTTCATTTGCACCAAAACAGGTGAAATTGATTCACAATCACTTATGCTTCCTAACTGGATAGATTAATATCCCTGAAGTTTAATTGACTTGGTGTTATACCATGATGATTAGGACACCAGCTCTAACATCTACATCTACAACTCTCTCTGCTAGTAGGTTTTATTTTAAAACAGCTCATTGTTGCACAGATTTTCACACATTGTTGTCTCTATTTTCTTTCATTTTCTTCATGGTTGTTTCCACAGCAACATGTCTGACTGACTGTGGCGTTTCAGCTGCCAGCTTGTACAGCCGCCCACCTTCACTGCTGTAAATGAAGTGGCTGTGTGCAGGCAGAATGTAAATTTAAGCAGACAGCTTTCTTATGGCAACACTAACCACAAGCCGAGTGTTGGTGTGAGGGGATGATGGAAAATTGAGAAAGTGATCATGACAGAAGGACTATGATGATGATGCATGTTCTTTCATACGGGTGAAAATTCCAGTGGTCCCTGGAGTGTTGTCATTAGCACTGAGTAAAAGTGAGAAAGTATTATAAGTATTTTTTTTTTTTTTAATGCATATATGGGGGAGAGAGAGGGGGTGACATGCAGCAGTGGGCCTGGGTAAGGACTCAGCCTTGACATGTCGGACATGCTCATGCAGGCCTACCTGGGGTGCCCCTGATAGTACCTTTAAAAGTGTGGTAATGGAGACACTAATGAGAGACCCAGTGTAAAATAACCAATCCTACAGCCCAGAGTGGCATTGAATTCTGGACATTTAGAGATAGTTTGATGTGACTGTGGTGATTGTAAAAGTCTGTTTCCATGTGCCTCCACTGTGTGCATTGCTTCTGTTCTTTAACTTCACAGCTTCACCGTGCACAATGACGTGTGTAAAGTTTTACACTAGAAGGCTGTTTTCACATTCATCTGCTGAGAAAGCAAAGTGTCTCTGCTCACCTTAAAAATCAGTTCAATATTTGGGTGTATGAGCAAGACTCTGTGAGATCAAAAATAATTTGGAAGACGATCATGGTCCAGTATGCAGCTTAGAACCTGCACAAAACCTTTCAGAAGACATGTGTCCAAAAATAGAGAAGATAACTTTCTTTTGTGGAAAAACCATATTATTACTTAAAGCAGAGTATTTTTATGTGCCCAAAGCATGTCTAAATGAAGAATAATAATAATAATAATAATAATAATACACTCCTAACTAATACAAGGTTTCTTCCTGTACTCCTATACATTCACGTCTTGTAAGGACTTGGAGTATTTAGTGTTTTACTTAATTTGGGCCTTAAAGCTGCCAGCCTTAATGCTGCAGCTTTATATCTTTCTATCTTTATCTTTATTTATTTATATTTCAGTACTTGTGATTTTTATGCACCAACGCACCAAGGCAAATTCCTTGTACGTGTAAAAAGTCACTTGGCAATAAACCCAATTCTGATTCGGGGCGGCTGTGGCTCAGAGG